AGCAATACTCTATTATCAAATTTCAGCATTCTAATAGCTACAATGTCTCAAAGAAAAGGTCACTGGATTTTTAAAATTTGGATGAAAATGTACTTTTCCCTTGTTCCATCCACTGAATGGTTTATGTCACCTGGCGTATCCCGACTCTGGATATTCAGGATATCTCAGGACTCAGCACTGGAGTCCAGCAAAGGCACAATATGCTGAGAAAGACATCCTCATGGTGGGAAACCACAGTGATGGTATCTATAGATTATAGATTATCTATAGATAGATGGTATCTCATACTAGTGATGGTATCTATAGATTAGGATAGACCTAGAGCACCTGTAAGGTAGGGCATGGCTTTGACAAAGGAAAGAGGTTCCAGCCACACATGCACACAGGGCAGCAAAACACATCTTAGGCTGCTTCTTTGGGGTGAAGTTACCTGTCCCCAGAAACCCAGGAGTCCCCTAGGGTGGCCAAGGGTCTCCGTGCCAGGGCAAAGCCAGGCTGGCCCAAAGTGACCCAAATCCTGTGTTTCCTGGTTGCCTGATGATCTCAGGATGCCCGAAGGAACTTGAGACATGTCAAAAGAGCAGGTGAAACAGACTGCTCTGGTTCAGTGTCGGTGAAGAGAGGTGGGCTAACAAACACAGTGTCAAAAATTATTGGAAAGCTGGGGAGAATGAGGAAAAGTCACTTCTGCTGGCCCTTTTAGAATAAAAGGCCTGTGAATTATTCTGCTCAGGGTGATCGAAGGCTTTAAAAGCTCGCTTGAGTTTTTTTAGCAGGTCTACATCACACTACTTTAACAGTAACAGCTGTAACCATAACAGCACATAAATGATGCAAGGGAAAACAAACAAAAAAAGCAAACAACTCGCCAGGAAAAAGTAAACTACTTGCAAACAGACCGGAAGTGTGCCTTTAATAACAACTCAGGGTTGACCTATTCAGGGCCTTTTCTTACCTTCCTCACTGCAATTTTCCTGTGATGTTGGAAAAAAAAAGCGATGAATAGTGAATATCAAGGAACAGCGATTTGTGCCTGGCCCCGTTTGTTGAAACACCTGCCAAGTGAGCACAGAGCAGGCAGAGGGCTATTTCAGGATGAGACATCCTCCCCGGAGAACACAAACCCGCCGACACGCTCTGCGTAGATGGCTTGGTGCCTCAGCACCGAGTGACGCTGCTGGGGAAGGCAGGTTTTGTGGTGTGAACCACCCTTTGGACCACCCTTAGGTGAAAAGCACTTAGGGGAAATTGCCTACAGCCCTGCATAGGAGCCTGAAGCATCAAAATGCAGTGTGGGAAGGAGCTGGTGTTCAACCGTGAGCACTTAATAAAGCCTTTGGCACCTTTATCTCGTCCAAACCAGCCCCTCCATACATCTGTTCTCATGGGTATAGAAATGCTCCTCAGAAATGCTCCTCGTTATTCTGCTGCATCCCTGTCTTCCTCAGTCCCTTTGCCTGCTCTCTAGGCTATCCCCTCTGGTTCTCCTCTTCCTCCCCAAGATTCGTTAATGACAGGGAGCCGAAATACTTCAGCATCAGGTCTCTCTTCAAAGTTGATGTTGCTATGGAAGCATACATTCCAGCTTTATTTTTTTGACTCTTTCAGATGGCAAACCTTTAACACATGAGTATTTATATTTAATGAGACCCCTGAAATACAAAGCCTGTCTGGCTATGCTGGCTAACTGTTACCAGGGCAACTCTTTTTTTTTTTTTTTTTTTCTAAAGATCTCTGGTTTTGTGGAACTTCAACCATATAAAGGGCTAAAGCTGAGTCCTCTCTAGTTATTTAGGTTCTTTGGGCCAGGGGGATGTTTCGGATAATCAGCTCCAGGCCAGAAGAGTGCTTCGGCAAAGAAAAAGACTGCATGGTGTGGATGTAGACTGATCCTACAAGCACTTGAAAGGCTCACCCATTGCTTTGATTTTTTTGAGCAAAAGACAATGCAGAGACAAGTGCGTCTGCCAGCGAGAAGGTTTTCCTAGAGAAAACCTCCACGTCAATACAACCTCTCTCTTGTCCAGAAATCTTGAGATATCCCCCCTGTTTGTTCAGGGAAAACAGAACAAAACAAAAATATTCACATGTTCCAGCACGTGCACTGGCTTCTGAGCTGGAATAAGCCTAAGTTTCTCTCTCCATGGGTCAAGGGTGGCCGCAGGAATAGACAGATGTCCAGGTCAGAGGATTAGCTTGGGTGAGGATGTAGACAGAAAGAGGAGAAAGTGACCCAGATAAAGAAAGGAAGGATTTAGAGAACAACTGCCCTCTCTACTGACACCAGCGTTTCCAGCTTGTGTGACTGCCAGCAGCTAAATGATGTGTCTGGGCTGAGCATGTACAGCCCGAGGGAGCTGCCAGGGAGCACTGGGGAAGCGGCTCCGTGGACCTGGTTGCCCCCTGTCTCCATCCCCACCTGCAGGGAACGGCTGCTGATTCCAGTGAGGAACCTCAGGAACCACCAGACCTCCAGGAAGGAGAAGCACCCGAGCCCTTAGGAGAGCCTTGCACTGAGGGGCAGTGCTTTTTCTGCTTTGTGAATCTCATATTTACTCTCTTTAGCTGTGCTGAATGTCTTTAGCACAGACCACAGACTTGGGAGACTGCAGTATAAAGTATGCTGCCCTATCCTGGTAAATAAGGCACTGTGGGCAAACTCCAATCCTTCCTGGGAAAACTTTCTGTTTCACCCTGGTTTAGGAAGGACCCAGCAGCCTGCGTCTGTGCTGTCATCTGTGTGCTGATTGATACAGAAATAACCTTTCCTGGGCTCGCTGTCTGGAAAGCCAACTCCCTTGGAAAGCCGAGCAGCCTGGAGGCAGGAATGAGAATAGACTGTGGATGGCCATGGAAGCAGCCCCAAGTGACACGTCTCTCCCCTCGAGGCTGAGAGGGACGTGAGGAGCCCAAAGCCCTGGTTAAACTCCTTGTTCTGCTGACATGCAGGCTAACATGCATGTTGCTAACAGGCATGGCAGGAAGACCACGTAGAGCATGGCTACACTGCACATCGGCTATGGAAGCTCTGATAGGAAAGCTCACCATCGTCTGCAACACTGCAAGAAACACGGTGGGCACGGTGGGGCTGAGCACACCAACCTCGTGACATGGAGGAACCAAGATACTACATTTCAGCTACCTGAAATACCCATATGCCCTGCACTATCATATGCGCTGATGAGCTGTTTGAAGTGAAAGTTGATTAACAATGTCATTAGGTCTTGAGTTCGAGCAAGTTAGTCTCAGGAGCTGGGTGAGCAGCTTAGGGCAGCAGACTGTTTCCTGCTCTGTGGAAGTCAGTCTTAGGTGGTTTTCTTTGCTGGCATGGAATCTGTCAAGTATAAAATGGGGTTTAAAAAAAAAAAAAAAAAAAAAAAAGAAGTATTTTCCTTGAAAAACAGAATCAGGAATAAAAGGCCTCTCTGCATGCAGGAAAGTCCTTAGCCTTCCAGGTGTACATCGCACTTCAACATGGCACTCAGGTGGACCAAGGAAAGGGGAGGATCTGCTCTTCCCCTTCCCCTTGGGGCACAGTGAGTCTGGGGACAACTCTTCCTTTTGCAGAGCTCAGGAAAGGAAAGGCCTAGGGGCTGCAAAAAGGTAAGTATTTAGAGATCTGACCAATTCAAAATCCAAGACTACTTCAAGGATGTAGCTTACCTTCTGGTTATGGAGGTCAGGATGCAGGATGCTGATGTTCAAACCACGCTACTGAGAAATTCAATGGATCAGCTGTGTCTTTGTGAAGATCTCTGCCTGGCAGCTCTTACTGTAATCCAATTATGAGTGCTAGCTACTGCATTCCACTGGTGACTCGTTTCCCACACTAATATATTTTAGTGTTGGAGCTTGAGGTTTGATTGCTGCAGCTCACAGTGATAACTGCAGGGCTCCACAGCTGCTCTATCTGCTGCTAAAACATAACTCTCTGCTCCAGTGATCATCATGCCTTCCCTGTAATGTAACTAGACCCTCTGTTCTCAGCACGAGCGTTGTGTCTGATGCGTCTCACTGGCTGCAGGAGAATGGAAGAAAACAATGGAAAGTAAAGATTGTGTCTAATCAAGAAAAAAAATAGAGTGGATTTGAGGGGCCAATACAGTGGTTCATTTCAGGGGCCAATACAGCTGGTTCATTTGAGGGGCCAATACACTGGTTCATTTCATGTTGTTAGAAAGGGGAGTCAAGTCGTTGTGCAACAGAGTATGTGAATCACAAGCACAAGGTATATCCCTTTGGATATACAGGGATACAGATATTGGGTTGTACAGATAAAGGCGCTCCACAGACCCAGAGTATATCCCTTTGCTGTGGTCAGGCGAGTCCTTGCCTTAATGCTGCTTTCCAGCCAGCGCAGATCTCTCTGCAGGTCTATCCAGAGGGAGGTGGATCTCACTACATTGACCACATTGTCCCACACAGTATCTCAGAGTCAGGGTATCCACACAAGCTCCTCTCAGACAATGTCTGTGTCCTCCTGCAATATGCTGGCTCTAAATACAGGCCAGCCTGTCCTTTTCTTCATGAGCTGAGTTACACGCTGCCAAGACTCTGAAGCAGCAGCACCTTTCACTATGGTTTTGCAGCATCAGCAAAAGCAACAGGAACACTCTGCATTTGCTGTATGATGCATGGGATAGGAAATCATCTTTCTTTGATCACCTAATGAAAAGGAATATCTTTGCATTCGCAAAGGAGTCCATAGCAAAATAACAGCCACTATCTATTATTGTCAATTCCCTACTTGCTCAGTTGCAACAAATGCAGGAGGTTTGTAGGTTTTAAGGATCAAAGACAGGCGTAATTGTCTGGGCCATGTGGCACAATTCAGTGACTCTGTGCTGAGCTTGCAGTCTATCCAATTGTGCTTGCATGCATTTTTTCTAAGAATCAGGTTTTTGAAAAGAACAAAACAGTAATATGTCTCCCCGTGATCAGATTGTATTTTGGGGCTCATCTCTTTTTCTCTTCTCTCCTCTCTCCCCTTTTGTTTAAAGGATGAAAAGAACCAGGTGTTGATCACAAATGCTTGGCTGCAAATGGTGAGTAACCTGTGTCAATAAAGAGTGAAATAACTCCTTAACTCTAAGTCTGTTGCTGGCCCTGTATGGCTACAGGCATGGTCTGCTCTTGTAGAGCATGAACTGATCTACTAAAGAATATTTACTCTGTAAAGAGGCAGCTCTGGAGCAAAGAGATTGAGAGAGACCCAAACGATTGAGCTGATTCTGCTATGACATTAGCAGCCAAACACTGCATCACGTTAATGTGCACAGCAGAAGGGGCTGCTTCTTCCTCAGCTCTCTACTGGGGTTTGCAGCACAAACGAGCTTTCCTCCTGCACGGATGCAGAATTCAGGCAGTTCTGTAGGACTAGGGGACGTCCTGTTCCTGGGACAGTCTAGCTGTGGTTACAGCACCAGCAACTGTTTTCCAGGTGTCCCCACCATTGAGTTTGCTGCAGGTCACAGGGTTTAGCACCTGTACCTTTCTGGAACTAATTTTGTGCATTGTGATGGGGGAAAAGGGGCTCAGAAAAACACCCTTGAGAGACAGAGTCCACTTTCCTGCCTGTCATAGCAAGGTGGTTATTAACGCCCATATTCCAAAATCTTTGTAATCAATTAAATTATATCCATCAGCGATTCCAAGACAGTGGTCTATGTACCACTAATAATACACAACTTACCTCAGATTAGGTTGGTCCACCAGTCTAGTACTAGATTTTTTGTCAGTTCATCAAGAAAAGTTTTGAAATATCTGAATCCAGATCTTAGGGCAGACAGACAGGTTAGACAGTAAATGACAATATAATAGCACACAAGGTCCAGTCATCACACTGTTAATTCTTTAGGATATATGTCAGCCTTCTTTAATTATTAAAACCTACCACTATACACTATTATTACATTACTGTATTCTGACCGGTGGGAGTCATTCTGTTCCCCTAATATTCCATACCAGTTAGAAGATTTCTCCCAGCTCATGCGATGTGATGTATGTATTTTCCAACAGTGCTGGGTGGATGTTTACCTGTCTTGGGATCAGTATGAGTACCCGGGAGTGCAGAACTTGAGATTTCCAGCTGATCAGATCTGGGTGCCAGACATTCTCCTGTACAACAGGTAAGCAGGATGTGCAGCAGCCACCAGAGATGTGCAAGCTGGAAATCAGCCATGCTCCACTAATGCTCCGGGGATTTTGCTACCTGGGGGTTTTGGCTCTTTCTCTTGAAAAAATCAAAATAAATGAGAGGAAGTACCAGATAATAGCTTTCTTTTTTTTTTTTTTTTTTTTTTTTTTTTTTTTTTTTTCTAATATCCAAGCTAAATCTCCTTTGCTATAATTTTATGGATGTCTTCCATTTCCACAGTGGTAATCCACATTCTTTTGTAATTTGCGTGTTTCCCCTGGAAAATTATGATCAGTTTCTGCCTTAGTCCTCCTGCATGGACTAAACAAGCCCAGTTTCTGTGTGCTTCTCTCATCATTCACATTTTTTTATATCTCTTTCCATTAATTCTCTTCTCCTCCAAACACTCTAATTTTTTTTTTTTCTTGCCAACTGGATTCAGTGTTCTAGCCAAGACTTTTTCAGTGTGCAATGGAGTCATGCAATAATCTCCACATCTGCCCATACCTTTCCTTTAATGAATTCCTGAAGGAGAGTGTTCTGTTTATACACTCATACTTCTGGACTTGTTTTTTGATCCATCATAACTCCAGATCCTTTGGATCTGGAGTCTTTGGATCCTTTGGATCTCCAGGTCTTTGATCCTTTTTGTCTTTCTATGTTAATTTTAAGGGGAATACGTAGAAACCATGGAGACTGAATTTCATTCTGTTGGTCTCTCTCTTGATTTGCCAAGGTCCATTTGCTCTTCCATACCCTCACTCCAAGGAGTCCAAAGGAAACTTGCATTCCCTTGGAAATTGTATAAGGGACTTGACTTTATTTCAGCTTTTCTCCTCAGAGTTCAACTATGAGCCCATAATCAGCCAGATTCAGCCCGTCACCAGCAGGCGTGTAATCTGGTCCCTGCTTCTGTAGTTTGCTTATAAGAACCTTATGAGTTAAAGGCTTTGTGAAGTCCAGACATATTTCCTGTCTTCCGCAAATCAGTGAGTCAATCATCCCCAGAAAGAAGAAAATTAGTTTGATTTGACGAATTTGGCCCTTGACAAATCCATGCCAGGTGTTATCATCTTATTATCTTTGAAGTTAGGCTGAAGTGTCTCTAACTTCAGACTTTTTTAAAAAAATCTGAATTTTCTTTGATCACCTCTGGTTCACCATGCCCTTTTGCATTTTCCATGAGCTCTCACAGATAATTGTTAATGCTTCAGAGAGTATTTCGGCCAGTTCCTTCAGTGCTCCAAAGTAAATTTTATCAGCTGTACCAAAGAGAGTCTATTGTATGCACACTCCTTTAACCTATTCATGCCCTGCTCAGGGCTGCACTCCTGCCATTGCTTGAGTCTTGCTGCCTTCTACATCTCTGGCCAGTTATAACCTCACTAACATGATGGATTTCTGCTTAAATACGATGGACCCTCACACTGTGTGCCAAACCTTTGTACATATAGGAACCCCCTGCACTTAACCTCCTCCCGAGAGGCACTCTAAAGTGAGCCCACAAGCTTGCTCCTTGGAGATGCCTTCCTTTCCTCAGAATTGCTGGAGTCCTCTGGAAATCACTTTTTTCTTAGTCCTTTTCATCTGGTTTTCTGCTCTTTCAGGTTCAGCCAGTCTTCCTCCATATCCCCCAGTTCCGAAATAGCTTCTTGCCATGACTTTCAGTTTTGGCCCCCTGCATCCTGAAAGGCTGATCTTAGGCTATGCCTTATACCTTGACTAGACATAAGATAGCCCTTAATTTAGACATCCAATACATTAAATTCTGAAAAAATATTATTTTTCTGTTGACAGTTGCTACATGCAAAGTCTTACATCTGTTGGCTCCCTCTTTCTTTTGTTTTGTTTGCATTGTGTTGCAGTGCTGATGAAAGATTTGATGCCACGTTTCACACTAATGTGCTGGTGAATTACTCTGGATCCTGTCAATATATTCCACCAGGTACGGAGAACATGTTCGCTTGCTTTAAATCAGCGTGTAACTTTGAATAACAATAACCAGCTTTCCCTTATGAGTGAATGCGAGAGAACAGTGAAATCCAGGCATTTGTCGAAATGTCTATAGGTAGAAATTTTGCAAGCCAGCTATAACAGAACAGACCTGCTGAAGTAATTTAGCCCTATTGTTAGTGGCAAACTTCCACTTTGTAAATGAACAAATACATTTCCTGAGCAGTTTGTTTCCAACATTCAGAGCCCCGCAGAGGAACATTCAAAGCACAATTCCAAGGAGGAAGTTTCTCGTGCAACCCAGCTAGCTCTTTCCTGCAAGTGAAGAGAGGTGCAACTGCAGGATGTGTCCCACAAGCTGCACTGTTCCCCCACCAGGGTCATCTGAGTTTTGAAGTCTTAAGGAGAGCCTATAACTCTTGGAAAGAGGAACAGAAACCACTTCAGTGCTGGCCAGATGATGGTCCTTGCCTGTTTTCCAGGCATGCTGCTGATTCCAGTGCTTGCTTCCCCAGGGCCTGTTTAGGTGGGTTGTGCAGGTTGTGTTGATACTGGGCAGATCTGGTGCCCCATTAGTTTCTTTCCTGTGAATGGGGCAGGAGAAGTGGGACCATGTGTGCATATTGCAACTGGAGAACAGCAGGCTCTATGGTGGAGAGCTGATTACTTAAGACCCTGGGGGAGAAGAAGCTTAGGACTGGGTAAAGGAAAGCTTTTGTGCACAGTACAACTTTACGTACAAGATTTTAACTGCTGCTAAAATATTTTGTCCAATCCGCTTTTGAAGGAAAAATGTTCATAATCTGCCTACCTGACAGCACCAGCAGCTAGACTAATTGAGACACAGCAAAATACTGCAGAGGGGGAAAGAGAGTGTTCCCAGAGCTTCATGAAAGTTTTATTTCCCTTGCCTTTAGGACGAGTCCGCACTCGCTGTTACTGCCCATTAGAGAAACAAGCTCTGGTGCATGTGGCTGGTGGAGGAGCGGAGATGAAGGACAGGACAGCAGCCAGTGGTTAAGGGAGCAGGGCCAAGATTCAGAAGGAAATGGGAGAAAAGGCTCCTCGGAGGCCGTCGGAAAAGGGACATGGCAGCAGGAGAGAGACCTACCTGAGCGTGAAGGAAGGAATGGGAAGAACAGAGCCACCCAGAGCAGCACTCTTTGTGCAGGGAAATGATCATGTGCAACATCCCCATCCTTTTCAGCAGCAGATGGAGGCGATAATAGAGGAGCCTTTATTTTGGAGATGGGATTTTCAAGAGGCACAGCTTGAGCGCTTACTGCAAAACACAGAACTGTTTAGTTAGACGGCTTAAAAGTGGAGTTCGCCTTAGCTGGCGTTCAAGGAGGTGGCAGAAGCAATTATTCCAAATTACTCCCCGTTTGACGGGCTGCACACATTTGATTCCATCCGTTTCTATCCACAGGCATTTTGAAGAGCACGTGTTACATCGATGTCCGCTGGTTCCCCTTTGATGTGCAGAAGTGTGATCTGAAGTTCGGCTCCTGGACCCACAGTGGATGGCTACTGGATCTGCAGATGCTTGAGGCCGATATTTCTAACTACATCTCAAATGGAGAGTGGGATTTAGTGGGTAAATTGAAGGGCTAAAATATTCAATAGTCCAATTTTCAAAGGCAAAAAACAAGTATAGGAAACGAGGAGTCCAATTGGAAAGTATGAAATACAAGTTTTAAAAGATGTTATATAAAAGTTAGGGGAAAAAAAAGAAAAAAATCCACTAGATTTAGAGACATTTTTTTCAAACATGTTCATTGAAATGTGTCTGAAAACATTATGTTCTGCTGCAGCAGCATGAAACTAAGGGGAAGGTAAAAGGGATCTGTTGGTCCTGATACATTTGAGCATTTTGTCAGTACTAAATTTGAATCTGTGTCTCATGCAGACACGCTGAGCATAATGTCACATCTACTCTACCACATCAGCCGAAAATTATTGGGTTAAAAAACACTATTTCAGCAAAAACTGGTATGAGCTTTTACAGAAATGAATTCCTCTTGCCCATAAAATGATCAAAGTGTCCATCAGTACATGGAAATAACTGCAGCTCAGGATATCTCCATTCTCTTCTGTGCTTTGGGAGATACCTATTTTTTTTAAAAAAGAGGATTCTATTCCCAGAATTAGTTATTTAGAGCTCTTAAGGTTTTAATGTGAGCTCATTGATGTAAGTGTAAATCAGAAGCAAGGCTCTGGAAATGGACAAAGCTTAGACCACCCTACAGAGAACTCGGAGACAGAACCTTTTATCTGCCAGGCCAAGTGGGCAGGCAAGAAGATCTCCTAAAATCAGCCCATTTCAGAGCAATGAAAGCCCTTCCTGGCTTTCACATACTCCTTTATAGAGCATATTTCTCTCCAAAAGATAGAAGTGCATATTTTCTGGCTTTGTGTACCTGGTATAGAACCTGGCCTTTGGATTCTCTCTCTTCATCCCAGACAGGATATGGATAGAGCTGGCCCTTAACTGGTTCATACAACAATAGTGACAGTTGAGGCCGTAAACCAGCTTTGGACACATATTTTATGGAGATTTTGCCACACTCCTGGCAGAACACACACAAGCATAGTGTTGTCCGTGGTGTAGACAGCAACAAATGGGAGGTGAGCAATGGTGACAGCAAAGATACAAAATACTGAGATTTCCAGCTTCTCTGGACGTTTCCTCTGCTGCAGCTGTCCCTGTCAAGCAGGGTCTTCTGCAATATGGTCATCTTGGCCAGCCCCACCATACAGATGTGTTGGACAGCTATGTCTCTTAACCCTCGGAGGGGACAGACTTTGGGCTTGACTTAGCATCCCCTTTGAAAATAGAAGTCAGGTTTGTTTTTCCTGATGAAGGAAATCAATTATGACATAAGAGAATGACAGAAAAATAACAACTTTCCTGCATATCATCTTCAGAGCTCCCTTGGGCTCCAGTGAGGGAACATGGTCAGAGGTGCCATAAACCATCATGGGTTGTCCCCCTTTCTGGGGGTGAGTGGGAGTGCTGATCATCTCCCCACTGATGATCCCCCTCCTCTACAGCTGTGCCGGGAAAGAGGAACGAGATTTATTACGAGTGCTGTAAGGAACCGTATCCAGACGTGACCTACACGGTCACCATGCGCCGACGCACACTCTACTACGGCTTGAACCTGCTGATCCCCTGCGTTCTTATCTCTGCCTTGGCCTTGCTCGTCTTCCTCTTGCCGGCTGATTCAGGAGAGAAGATTTCTTTAGGTAAGTGCCACAGAATTCATTTCCTTCCTAGGACTTATCCATGGAATGGGGAATAAATGCCTTATGATGCTTGATAGAAAAGGATTTCCCCGGAGGAGCAGCTGAAGCACTTGTTTGGTTGGAGAAAAAAAGATGACGGCTTTCTTCAAGACATGAACACGTACAGTGCTAAGTACTTCTACTGACATCATCTTTTTGATTTTATCATGGGGATGAGGCAAAAATTTTCACTGCCCCAGATGACAACAATGATGACACTCTCTCCACTGCCAGTCTTTTCTTTAGTACATCCCAATGCATTTCACAGCTTGTTAGCTCCTTTTTTCAGCTAATATACCAAGATACAGAGGTGGAGAGGCTCTCTAAAGAGTCATGAGCTGCAGTGACTGGGTATGGGATTGTCATCTTCCATGTCCCCAAGGTCCCAAATCACAAGGCAGTGAGTTCCTCACAAATGCAAAGAAGTGAAAAGAAGCCAAAAAGGAGTTAAGTGTGGTATATTGTTATATGTACTTCCAAGAGCAGGGGAGTGGGAAACACACAAAGCTGGTCCAGGTGAGACCGTATGTTTTATGTTGTGCACAAATCTGGTCTGGACAAAAACATTCAGAAAAGAACAAGGGCACTGAAGGTCCGTAGAGAAAACAGGGAATTGAGCAACCATGCTTGCACCAAGTAAAAAAAGAGCTAGGAGGAAGGGGACTGCTGTTTATAAAAAGTAGGGCGGGATCAAGAAAAAGAATTATTTGAGCTAAAAGGCAATACCAAGAAGAGGAAATAAAGTTCACACAGGCTGTGAAACAGGACAGTGAGTTTTTACAACAGCCTTTCCAGAGGAAACAAATAAAGAACTACATGTAAATGGGTTTGCAGCTGAAGGCAGACATTATACAACCACCAATAGACAGTGACTACTTTTGCCTGTGAAGTCTCTGCAAGCTCTTACAAACTGGCTAGTCTTTGCTTGAGCCTGGTTTTGCAAGGCAAGCATTTTATCTAGCAGCAAAAGCTTCTCCATTACTTTAAGAGGAGCAAAGTTTGGGGAGTAATTGAGACAAGGGGAAAGAAAGCGGATAAAGAAGCATCAAAGATGCATCCAGAGATACTCCTGCTTGGTCACGTTGCTCAGCCTTCCCCTCTGTGCTCGTTCTCTGCAGGTATCACTGTGCTGCTCTCCCTGACCGTGTTCATGCTGCTCGTGGCTGAGATCATGCCTGCAACGTCTGACTCCGTCCCACTGATAGGTAAGCCGCTTTTGTCTGCTCTGTGCACTCCCCAGGGAGCTTCCTAAGTTCCGTGAAAAGCCTCTTTGGAACCAATTTTGTTTTCTTTCTTTTTCAATGCGGTTTTGCATTTCAGCAATGTCAGGAGTAAATTCTGGATCCTTCACTGTTTGTGTAAATGAGGAGAGCCTGCAGAGGGGTGCAAAGGGGCTTTGAAGACACCAGATAAGTGGATGCATTGCAAGGTGCAGGGGACATAGCACTAACAGAAAACCTGGAGGTTCAGGTGGGCAACCTGACCTTGGACATGGACATAGAGTGAATTCTGGCAAAATGCTCAGTCCTGGCTCTGGATTTATTGTGCAAATTCCTTGCCTACAAGTCCTGCTTTCTCTCCTTTTGTGCATCTCTCCCTGCCAGTCCTCCTCGCTTCTGCCTACCCCAAGAGCAATTCCTAGAGGAATTTAACTAGAGGAGACTCTAGTTAAAATGGAAATATGTCACTGGTGTATTTTTAGCATTTGATGAAACTCTTTGACCTGATCACCTTCTTGGTAACTTCCACTGTGACACACTTAGAAGACAATATAAGAAATTTGAGCATTTACCATACAAGCAGTTTTATTACAGCCATGCAAATATCTTAAATACTTTACCAGGACTCAGAATGGTGGATTATTGCTCTTATTATTGGTGTAGTGGTATCAGAAGGCTCCAGGTGAAGGTCCATGACACATAAGTGCTGAACACACACGTACCCCCACACAGCAAAGGGCTTCCTTAGCTCTGCCTTTGAGAGAGATGAGGGGACCAAGGCAGGTTGGATGTCCAGCACCTGCATGGGACTTCCCGTTGGCCTGAGGATGGCCAAGTGCATCAGAGCTGGGCACAGCTGAAGAGCAGAGAATGGGATGTGACCAGTAAAGGCACTGGCTTGTGCACTGCCTTCGTGTGGCTTCCAAGTGGGACTGAGGGCAGAGCTTGAATGATCATTCACAGAATGAGAAAAGAGAAGCCACTGATAAGCATGTCATGCTGGTGGGGGCAAAGACCTGTGGCCATCTCTTTCACAAGGACTAAGAGGACTTGAGCTTGAGCAGGGGAAAGGATCATTCCCTGGCCGCAGAGCAGGGTAAGGAAAGTGAATCTATGCTGATATATATCTAGATGCTGATGGAGAGTGTGCCTCATCATTGCATAAGTAGTGCCTATGATGAGGCAGACCATGAAAAGAACAAAATGACGTTTAGTCAGACAACCTCGTTATCTAACTTCAGGGAGTTAGACAGAACTAGCAGTCTGAAAGGTTGGTGACTCACAGGGCTATGCAGCATGCTCAAAATTTTCCAAAAAGCTCCAAATAAATTGAGCATCTTACTGAAAGTTGGAATGAGTCTAATCCTACATGAGATGGACTTCCAGGAAGTTAGCAAGTCCCCCAAGCCATGTCTGTACCTGGGATCTACAGAGGGAGCTACAGGTGTAACAAAACAAAATAAAAAGTTGGGATTATTAAAGGGCTACACTTTTCTATTCTGACTGCACAGCTTTACCTAGACCAGTTCCTCCCAATAGAGAGTTCCTCCCTCCTAGAGACAATAAGAAGACCTGGGCCAAGGAAAGCTTTCAAGAGTTATGCATTCTTGCAGATTTTAAATCTGGAATAGCAGATTTCAGCTAATTTCTAGTTAATCTGTTGTGGATATGTGGACATTAAAAATCAGCAGGGTAGTGGGGAAATCTACTGGGTCAAGTCCCCTTCTCCAGGTGACTGTTGACCCAAGTATTAGGACTTCTCACACTTTTTCATTATTTCTGGATAAAGAGCTGAGAATATGAGGACAGACTCTCTTCTCACTATTAATATATTAAATATGCCTTGCTGGAAACTTGTATTATTACCACTTTTTTCATAATGCCTAAATAATTGGAGCATATCAAAGGTATTAGAGATGCACCTTTCAAAGTTGTCGTATAGGTTAAAGGCAGTCTGTTCCTTTCATCTGCTCATTAAACAAGTTTCATACTGCAAAACACTGTAAAGAATAGTTCTAATACATGGACCCTGGAGACTGATTTGAGCTATCCAGCAAAACGATGCCTAGAGCAATTCCCTGGCTACTCTCATTCAATGTTCCCATGTTGCAACCCAAAAGTAAACTGAGGCTTGAGTAAAACCAGGCAATCTGGGCTGGCACGCTCTGAAACTTGCAATATTTATCCCAGAGAGTGATTAGTTTTAAATTCATATTCCCAGTGATCCCAGAATAGGAAATCCCAGAATATCAGCAGATGTCTTGAAGAGGATGCCAGGTAATGATTGCACTTCTTCATTGTGATCCAATTGTGGATGAAAATCCTTAGGGAGGAAGAGGTGGACTCTTGGACAGCTTATTCAGTTCTTGGAGTATTTCTGTGATTTCCTGCACCAAGCTACAGGAATAAATGAATCTCCTAGAGCACGAGGTTTAAAGGAGATTGCAAGTAATTTGATCCTGATATAGAAAGATCAACTACTGTTCTGCAGGAAAAGTCACTGTTGCTGGTCTTCCTGCACATGAGAGTAGAGGTCCTCTGATCCAGACACTTGGCTTTGTGTTGTTAGGACTTGGGATTTTTAAATTAAATTTGCATCCACCTGGACCTGTATGAATACTCCCTGCTTTTGCCTGTCCCACGACACTGGTCCCTAACATGCTGCATCTGTTTCTTTCCTCTCCCATTTAGCCTCAATGTCAAAAGAACTGGCTTCTCAAACCTGATCTACTTGCAAAGAAATGAGGAGTTTGTATCTTGATCCTCCTTAAGCAAATATCTGTTGACCTCAACTGGTATTTACAATGAATGAAGCAGTTTCCAGCCTAAATGAGCATAACGGGCAGGACACCTGCTTTTCCCTGCTATAACCTGTCTGCAAAATATCTCCCTCCTCTCCTGACCATGTCTTTTTGCAATAACTCTTTATAAAACTGTCCACAGCAGACTTCCTCTCCCACCACATGCAGCTTCTTGCGTGATGGGCTCCAGTCTTCTACGCAGTCCAAAAGATGCACATCCACAGCAAGCAGACTTTTATTTTTGTTTTCATCTGTAAAGAGCAAGTGGCAAGATTTGGCCTAGAAATCACAGCTCAATGTCTTTGATAGCCTGTGCGGTGGTGTTTGCTGGAGTCCCCTTCTACTCAGTGAGCCAGAAGGCCGCTGTTGGGAGTCTGGATGATTGCATTTACTCCCTTGATCCTGTTCTCCAGCAACTTCTCCTTGTCTGAGGGAAATAGGAATTTTCGGAGCTCAGTTTTCAGCAACATTGCGTATGTGCCACACATTGCAGTCTTTAGAAAACCGAAGGGCTTCTTCAAACTGATAAAAGCCCAGGAACCAGAGCAAGGGTGCTTCTGCTTATGTGTAGAAAATTAACCACCCATAGCAAAAGAAACCAGCTCAATCATTTGGATCAGAGTATTCACGTCCCATGGCATTTACAGACACAACGGTTTGGCAGGAGTTCAGCACAAGTTGGTTATGTGAGCAAGGTTTGTTTCGCTGCTGGGCCCTGGAGGTGCCTGCTGGTGCTGGAAGCTCTCGAGCAGACATTCAGACCACGCTTATCCAGCAGCAGATGTGTCCTAAACTAACCCATCCCGGGGGCGGCTTCATCTTGCCCCTTGGGCACTGTGTCTGCGCTCATGACTTGACCTATTTTTAACATCTCTCTTTAAAAAATGTATTTATAAAAAGCCAGTTTAGCTAGACAGCCGGAGATCACCACATGAGGAAGAAACTTAAAGAAATGCAGAGAACTCCAGAGAAGTTACACACCTGAAATTACAGAGCTGGTGGCATTATCACTAGGTGCAATCCCAAAGCCTGAGCCGTGCAGCTCAGAGATATGATCGCAGTTACTCCACCACATCTCTGGAAGCATATTAGCTTGCACACATATTTGTCTCTCACTTAAAAAGCCAGTGATTTCATGGAGATATCCTGTCCTTAACACATAATAAACTTGTGCACCAACTGAGGGCATTATATCAGGAGGGAGTGTATCCCATGTGTAAGTCCATGTGTAAGTCCAGTTCAGGGACCAATTTGAAACTGCACAAATAATATAATCTAAATTAGAGCTTCTGTGCAAATTCTGGTTCTGTAAATACAAACTAGAAGGTTAAGTAATTCATCTGAGAACGAAATTTATGGCATCCAAACATAAGCTGCTAGGGCTTTTTTGTTTTAACAAAGCACGATTTATGTAAACAGCACTAGATGCTCAAGTTCATTTTTGGTAACGGCTTTGTGGCTGTCTCTGAAGGAAGGATCAATCCACCCCTTAGGCAACAGGCACACGCCTGAATTCTCTGTTTTAAAGAGCATTGTGCCTCCTTATTTGCAGTCTGCACATCCAAGACCTCATTAAACTATATTCTTCATTTGACAGTAACCCTGTAATTAGGGTAGGAAATCATGCATTAAGAGGTAACGAGGAAGGTAGCTTCCCCAGATCAAGTCAGATTCCTAGCTGTAACTCTGCCCCTTCACGATTACCCTTTCAGGAGAGTCTCCTTAAGATTATACAACTGATGCGCATGCTTATGCACTTCCAGCAGGACCTGACAAGACAGTCCCCAGGATCTCATTAATCTCGCATTGCTGCAGGCGTGATTTCAAAAATCAATGTCTTGAGACGAGCTGCTAGGCTGGACTCAGGGACTGAACACCTTAAAATTTAACTCAGCTTGTACAGTAAGGTTTAGTTACCTAGCACAAAACACCAAGGTGTTTGCAGAAGGGCAGATCACCCCACCTCCCCTGGAGGCCAGCAGTGGCTCTGGGAGGTTCAGGGCAATGCAGTCCTGGGTGTCACAGCACTTCTTCCTCACCCCGGCATGTAATACTGTCCCAGGGCCATGGGGTATGGCATGGGCAGAGCTGCAGATGTCCTTGCTCCTCCTCTGTGATCCTGGCTGTGCACAGACCCAGGTGATGCAACCTCTTTTACATGTTGTCAGCCCTGGGTGATACAGCCTATTTTAGTGGCGTTTCTTTAAAAAACACCCTTTAAGAAAAATTCATCAAGAAACACCACTAAATCTCTATCCCTGGTCACTGCAGGTTTGTCTCTCCTCCCTCTGCAGTGTGACATTGAGCTCTGTCCCCACTCTTGCATCTCCCTTCACATCTCCCCAATAGCAGCACCATTGATGTAAAAAAAAAACGTGATAAAGTGCTATACACTGAGATATTTTCTTAGCAAACCGTGCCTTGCCCTGCTGTTTGCTCCCCTCCTGTTGATGCAAAGCGCATTGGCTGCAGACCACGGTGAAGCAGCCGGGAGCAGCCGCAGCAGGCAGGGCCTAACTCGCTCCGCGGCTGCAGTAAGCTCAGCACTAGCTGCTCTCCCTGCACGGTGCACAGGGGAGGTTTTGCTGTCAGGGTGTTTTGTCACGTCAGATAAGGGCACGCTTCTGCCCCTAAGCCAAACCCTAGAAGTGAAGTGTGAAAGTGAAGTGAAGCGTTTAGGCCTTTCCAAATGATCAGATGATGTGCCTTTCCCTCAAACACTCCACGGGCCTGGAGTGTTCAGGGATCCTGTTGCACATTTGAACATGTTAAAAATCTCCTTCTTCTTCTTTTTTTTTTTTTTTTAATATATCCCCAAGTAAACTCCAAAATGATGAAATTCATTATTTCCTGCCAGCTCGCTTCAAAATAGTGCCATGACTTTCAGGTCAAGAACCAGTATTTTGCTCTAAGAGATGTTTTACTGCAGAAAGTGTGGGCTACCTGAGATACAGTGTGCTCACAGATTGTTTGAAAAGATGAAATTTGGGACTTGTGAATACAAGGAACAGTCACTTCCTCAGTCCATATAAGCACCCACACAAAGCTTGATACCCATATTAAATCCTACCCAAAAAATGGAGTTATTGCCATCCATTTCATATGAACTGTATTTATTTCCCTCTGTCCTTTGATAATGCTCACCTGCTTCTTTATTCTAAATTCATAATGTTTACTTGCTACTCAGGGCTCTCCTTCTCTAACATATTTACAGCCTTGTCTCCTTCTTGTTCTTCTTCATCATATTTATTTTATTTCAGTAAAGAAGAAGCTGTGGATAAACATGTTTGTACCAGCTGCTTGGGTGGTTTCTTGCAGTTCAGTCATAGAACAAGTCGCTGAGACAAGGAAGCAGCCCAGGCTGCAAAGCCTGGTGCTTCACCCCCTCCACGAATTACTGATTGTTTTAAGTTAAGAGCAAAAGCCATTAGTGGTTCGGAATAGATGGAGAAGATGAGATTAGTCTTCTTTCACATTTTCTCTTGTACGTCTGTATCTCCTCAGCTGATGCCACGTTTGCCTCTGCCCTTTGAGTTTTTCTCCTCCTGCTTTCGGCTTTGCTCAGTGCTTCTCTCCCTGCTCTTTGATGCCCCTTCCTGCCTGCTCTCTGACTCCAGGCCTCTCCTCAGCCTCTCCCACGTGCCAGAAACCCTCAGTTCTCAACAGCCCTTTACAGTTTTGGGCTCTGTGTTAAATGTGCTTTTGACAAAACCACAAGCTTTGCAACTTTCCCCACGAAAAATTTAAAAAAAAAAAGAGTGCAATGTATCTAACTCAACTGCTGGGAATACCTGGGTATGATATTTCCCTTCCTCCTCTCTCATTTCATAATAAAACCAGGACTGTAACTTGGCACAGTGGGGAAGCTCGGAGGCTTTGTGATGAGCTGGGTTAATAAATCTGGATAACACACTCATTTCCCTGTCAGTGTCCAGTAATAATTTCAACAAAGCAAAACATCCCTCCAGGAGCATCTTGCCTTTCCTAGGGTTTCTGCTCTATGTGCCTTGTTTTACTATCAGTCCTTGATATTAATTCAGTTCCTCTCAAGTGGGAGGTCTTCCAAAACATCTCCGAAATTATTTTAAGGTGCTTCCTTGATGCTGGATAAAGAACATCCTAAAAAGGTACTGAAGGTACTGAAGGTCCTAAAGCTTTGGATTGCAAGTCAAGGCCCTATCAGATATGTTTGCTGTGATGATGATGATGTGGTCCTCTTCTGACAGTGCTGAGGCTGATCCTGGTGGCTCCCAGGTGTCAAAGCAGTTTCCAGGTAGTGTGCCATGTCATCCCTCCCTGGCAAAGACACCGAAGGAAACCAGCAGTTAAGAAAGGGCTCAGCTCCCGTGTTAACTTTCCAAGGGTCTATTAAAAGATCCGAGCCAAAGACATTTTTAAGCGACTACTTTAGGCCTGGAAGTCTTATTGGTAGCAACTAAATGTGTAGAATTTACTGCAGGATTTAGCGACTTGTGGCAGTAACTGTACTAGTGACAGCAACATGACTGTTTTCCTATTAGATGATGTGCTTTGGAGTCAGATCACACACCTTCTCTAAAACTGAATTTGTGGCTTGTTCTGTTTCCGCACCACTGTTGACTTTGTTTTTCTATGAGTAAGTGTAAGAGAGACCTTTCAATTCACCTTGCCCTCAGGAGTATTCCGCTAACTCAGCTGCATAATTCATTTTGCCAAGGAAAGCCACGCCAGCCTCCTGAAGCAGTTCTCACATTGGTTTCAGGAAGGCATGGGGACCTCATTATCAGGAACTTGCTCTTGGCTGCTATGGAGAGCAGTGTTAGGAAGCTGAGCCTGGCACAGAACTTGCCTTGGAGTCATCATTAAAATCCTTGACCTCTCCTGCAAGCCTCGTCAGGGAGAGGAGGGCAGGGGGAAGGTTATGAGCAATGCCAGTGTCACGAGTTGTCCCATCTCGCTCCCTATGATCCATCTGTCATGATCCCCAGTATTTTGCATGGTAGTCTTCAAATGCCGCCAACTCTGTGAGCATTTCTTCTTTACTCTCCAGTGCTTCAGCCTAACTCCCAGCATGGGAAGGCTGTACTGGGACTTGCATTGGTTCCCAGTCCCAGTTCTGGCTTTGAGGACCTTGGTTTCTGCCCATCATCGCAGGCTTAGATTTAGCTGTAAGGTGAGAGCACAGCTAGGACTGATAGGAGGTGGGCTTGAGGGAAGGTGTGGAAGAAGAAGCTGAAAAAGATGCAGAGAAGATGGGGAGAGGTAAAGAAATGGAGTCATGGTCACACTTTAGGTCCTGGGACCCAATGACCAGAGCACATCCCTTTGGGAACGCTGCTGGTACCAAGAAGAGAATATTTGGATGTGACATGGGTCTCAGAGACTGAAGGAGGAATGTTTTTTGCCTTTTCTTTTTTTTTTCCCTCCCCTAACCAATGTTCTCCTTTCTATTGCAGCTCAATATTTTGCAAGCATTATGGTCATCGTCGGTCTGTCTGTGGTGGTAACAGTGCTGGTTTTACAGTTTCATCATCATGACCCTCAAGCAGGAAAGATGCCCAGATGGGTAAGCAGATTTCGTGGTAAATATTCAACAACACATTTTCAAGCTAAAAATAAAAGCCTATTTTTTTCCTTACACCTTGCCGAGAATGGGTTTTAGAATAAGCAGGGAACACATTGCTACTACAAAAGGAAAAATCATGAAAGTTGAAGCAGATACCAATAGTCACTGTCATCTGCCCACCTGGTTTCAAAGAAATTTGCTTTTACAGCATCCTCTATTATCTCATTCACTTTGTTTGGTATGCTGGACGATTATCTTGATGTGAAATTTCACAGGTTTACCAATGTTAGCTGCAGAAATAGAACTGATATATCTTCTTTAATAATAAGTTATAAAGTTATAATAAGTTATAAGTTATAATAAGTTATAAAGACAATGCTAATTAAAAAAAATAAATAAACATTGAGCCTAAAAAAAAAATCTAAGTAGAAATACCTCATAAACACTTCTTTAAAGGCTATGTATACTAAGATCAGCTCAGTTTCAAGGATGCAGAGCAGGTGAATTATAGAAGAATCTCTATGTAAGCAAGAGTTAGGGACACCAATCTGCATAAACATGTTTCTGATGTCCAGAGGGACAGAGTTTGCAGCAGGACAGCATCCCTTGGACAATTGCACTGTGTCTTTGCCTTCTCAGGAGTCAGGAGGCATCATGTTACCTATGCTCACAAACCCTGCCACCCAATTCTTGATCCTTGCCAGCCCATCAAGGGACTTTCTGAGGCCACCTCCATTAATTTACTTCTTCAGTATGTTTTCAATCACTATGTGTTAATTCACTGTGATCATGACACATTGGAGGAAATTATCATTCCTGATTCTTTTTGAAGTCTCCTGGGAAAGAGGACAAGCCTAAGAAAGCAGTTCTGCAGATCTCTGTGACAACGAATGTTACAGGCTAAGATATAAAGGCTAGCTGCCTTTATAGTATACCTAGATTTATCATTATGTCTAACTAGACACATGAAACCCGGTCTTACGAATCATCCATTCTGTAGGACAAAGCAAGTCCTGAAGAACTCTGCTTTTCTCCAACAAGCTATCAGACCTGACTTATAGCTCACAAAACTTAGAGTACAGAAATGACGGGTCTGAAAACTACTGGGGAGGGGTTTTTATTCTTTCATATTGGTCACCTGGAGCTTCTAGGAGTTCCTGCAAGAACTGGAGCAATCTGTAGGAGCGGAAACTCATATTCCCATCCTGGAATACCTAGAGGATTTCCTTCCTAAAGAGTGAATCCAAGGAATCCATAGTGGAAAATGCAGTAAAAAAATTATTGAACAATCGTGGGAAGTGGAGAATCATGGGTCCATTCTCCCATATATTTTTGGGAGACGTACACATCTCAGTCCACTTCTGGAACAACTGTAGAAAAAGAGGATTTTCTTTTGTCATTGGCAAGAAAATCTATAGAAATGTATTTGACAAGAGATTTCTGGCCCGATGCAGAGGAAAATGGGGGTTAACTGTACACAGGGGAGCCCATAACTATGTAGATGTAGCACTCCAGACGTGTGGATCACCTCCACACACCTGCTGGTAGTCCTCCTGTTCATATATCCAGGACACTATTGGTTCTTTTGGGTCACAAAGGCACATCTTGTCCACCAGGACCCCCAGCTCCCTCTTTGCAGAGCTGCTCTTCAGCAGGTCAGTCAATCCCAGGCTGTGCTGGTGTGTGCAGTTATTCCTCCACCCAGGCAGGGCTCTTCAGCCCCCTTTTTGAACCTCATGAGGTTCCTCTCAGCCGACTCTGAAGGTCCTTCTGAACAGCAGTGCAGCCCTGGGGGATCAATCACTCCTCCCAGTCTGGCATGAGGGTTTGCTGAGGGTGCACTCTGTGCCTTCATCCAAGTCGTTGGTGACTAGTGATTAATATATTGCTGAATAAAACTCCCACACAATTTGCATTCTACAGCAACTAGTCAAAGAATAACAAAGTAGGATCTATAGATAAGAAAGACCTAGCCACATACTCCATGCTCGTGTCACAAGCCTGCTAAGGTCTGCTGTTTTTTGGCTAGAAATGTTGTGTACAAGGCATCATCACTCTTCAACAGCAAAGCTCAATGGCCTGCCAGCTGAACTGCCATATACTTAAAAAATACGTCTACTGGGAAGCAAAGCCTGCAGAAGGCATTAGTGGAGAGTACAAACAACACACTGCAGTAGCTGTAGTTCAGACAAGCAGACTGAGACGGACAATTTCCAGGCAAAATGGTGAATACCAGTTTTGTGGGAAGAGGCTGATGCCCCAAGAGTGACAGGATCCAGGGTCTGTGCAAGCCATGGCCATCGCTCAGCCACTAGCAACTATGGCACAGTCCCCATTTTGATTTTATCCTGCCACCATCTTTCAGGGTCTGTTTACCCATTTACCTCCTTTTTCTTATTCTTTTCTTTATCTGTCTTTTTTTTTCCCCTTCTCCTGAGGCATATGTATAGCTTTTTGCTGAATAAAAATGGGAACCTAAAATGCCTATTTACAGAGAGAAGGAAATTGCTTACCTGAAATTCTGCAATGCAAGACTCAGCAGATACCCCTAGAACTACTCACTCCTTGCACATGCCCCTGGCAGAGCCAGACACCAGTGTTTTGCAGAGCTCTAGCCATATTAACCATTATGAGATGTTTTTCCACCTTTGATGGAATTAGGCATTTCTGCAGAACAGTGCTTCCCCTCCACGTCTCCTTGAAGACCCAAGGCAGACATAATTAACATTTTCTAATAAGAAAGTTTGCCTGCTCTAGTGTTTTGGAATTTCACATTATGGCAGAATAAATTTCCCTCCATCCTCACCACTGACACTGTTGAAATATTGTTAGCAATTAGCGCCTTTGTATCGTTCCATGATGATATGTAATCATGTGTCCATAAGCAGTCAGAGGACATTTTAATTAAGGAAGTTCAATTAAATCCAGGATGGATTCTGTATAACCTGCTATGTTATAGTTCTTGTGTTTGTCTGTGGTGACCATGGAGGAAATAATAAAACATTTAAAGCCAATGGTGAAAGCAGAACAATTCGAAACTCGTGAAAATGGCTTTTCAGGGTGAGGAATAAAAGATGCATGAGAAGCAGGGAGGCAGAAGGGCCCAGGGGAAGGGAGCACAAGGCTGCGAGCCAGAAGAGCTCCCACTGCAAAGCTTAAGGACTCCATAGCTATCTTCCACTCTCTTGGCTTTTGTGTTTTACTATTATTGCTCCCTGCTGTGGCAATTAGAGCCTCCTCCTCTCTGAAGCTGTGCTCGTCCTCACAGCGAAGCGCAGGCTGCAGTTTCTCTGCTACGTGGTGCAAATGCAGGAGACAACGTGGTGCAAATGCAGGAGACAACCCGGCAACTCGGCCGCGCTCTGAAACGTCCTGATGAACCAGGGGTGGCCCTGGGGCTTTCATGGCCACGGCACGGGAGCAACATCCTAAGGGCAATGCTGGGCAGGGGAGTGAAGCCAGAGGCAATCCTGTGTTTGTTCTTTTTTTTTCTTGAGAAGAAGACAATTTGGTTGCAACCAAAATGAACAAATAATTGAAGAGGTCACCTGTATTCCAAGAGTGACTCTTGCCATTCCCTCACCGGCATTCATTCCGATATACTCATTATTTGAAGAATTTTACACTTACCAGATTTCACTTATTTAGTTTGCTGCTGTCTGCCTTCCCATGCAATCAGTGCTAAAAATTGGAAATCTTGCAAGCTCAGAGCTCAGAGAAGGGATGCGAAGATCAAGTCACAGGGAAAATAAAATGCCAGATGTGATCTCCTGAGCTAGCTCAACTGACAAGCATAATGGGAAATATTTGCCCCATAAATGGCTGTATGCAGGGTAGAAAGCTCCCACGAACTGTCAGAGCAGCTAATTTTACCCCAGAGCAGGAGGAAATTACCGCTGTTAATAACAACATTCAGATTTTGAACTGCCTAATTTAATTGATCAACTGCTGCTGTTTTTGAAGCAAAAGGCCTGCTGTGTTATGTGGCTGAGCTTGAAGCAGTATTGCAACAATTTCCAAGTTAAAAAATACAGGGCTATTTATAAACTCTTAAACAACAAGGGTTGCAGGGAGGGTTTATGCAAAAAAAAATCAGTTATTCTGTCCAATAACCCAATTCGGGATAAACTGAGAATCTCTAAGAGTGTCTCTCTCCATGTTAACTGAGAGCTGGTTGTAAAAGGATGCAAACAGCTTTGTGCCCTCTGCTCCATCCTTAAATCCAGGATTGCTTGCAAAAGAAAGAGGTCAAGGATCCTTCTGTAAAATGAAGACGTTAAATCCTCTCTGGTCTCCAAGCTGTTGGATGCTGAAGACCAGTGTGCCCAAAGTATGTCTGAAAAAGTTATTTTGGAGAAGGGCCCAGATCTGGAAAATCCCACTTAGGTGGTGAATGTTTCAAGTAGAGAGAATTTCCGCTTGAACGTACTCAAGTTGTGCCAGGGAGGTTCAGGTTAAATATTAGGAAACATTTCTACATGGAAAGGGTGACGAAGCCTTGGAACAGGCTGCCGAGGGAAGTGGTGGAGTCCATGTCCCTGGCAGTGTTCAACAGAGGTGCAGATGAGGTGCTCAGGGACATGGTTTAGCAGGAGTGGTGGGGATGGGTTTACGGTTGGACTCGATGGTCTTGAAGGTCTCTTCCAAACACCATGATACTATGATTCTGTGGTTACAGCTGCCGCCAAATGCTTCAGAAAACATTAAAGCGTTCCCTCTCTGACTGCACTTCCAGGTCCGCGTGGTCCTCCTCAACTGGTGCGCCTGGTTCCTGCGGATGAGGAAGCCCGGCGAGAGCATCAAGCCGCTCTCGTGCAAGCGCGGCTACGCCAAGCGCGCGGCGGGCGCCGAGACGCACCTCCTGCCCGGGCAGCAGTCGAGCAACGGCAGCGTCCTCGGCAGCTACCCGGGCCCGGAGAGCCCAAGGGCTCCCAAAGGCGACGCCGTGACGCTGGAGAAGATCCTGGTGGAGGTGCAGTTCATCGCCGCGCGCTTCAGGAGGCAGGACGAGGGCGAGGAGATCTGCAGCGAGTGGAAGTTTGCGGCCGCCGTCATAGACCGGCTCTGCCTGGTGGCCTTCACGCTCTTCGCCATCGTCTGCACCTTTACGATACTCATGTCGGCCCCCAACTTCATAGAGGCCGTTTCCAAGGATTTTGCATGAGGCTTCTCCAAGAGGAAAACGGGGAAAGGCAAAGGTAACCTGAAAGTAAAATTTCCCGTAATTTTGCTAGGTAAGCCAACAGAAAAGACTAAAGTGTACTTTTATGTGCTAACACACACAGAAGGAGCTGAAATTAGTTTCAAGAGCTATTTTTTTTCCTGATGTTAGTGACTCTAATTACTGAATAGTATACATGTTGAGTATACGCGTTATAACTTATTTCCTAGACTACTTCCACATGTAATTAAGTCATGATCTTGTGACAAGCAGACAAGATAGACAGGAATTCAGATCTACAATATATTTGTTACGGGCTAACACTAGCATCAGTGCATTACAAAGCATCTGGGAGAATTTTACTATTTTTACCTGGGTCACTACAAGCTCTTCAGTACTTTATTGTCTTCAGTACCTTCGTGTTTTGGGGATATTTTCTTGTTCATGTGGCTGTGATACTCACTTCTCAGGTTTGACAGATAATCTCTTCACAGTCTTACGATGCTGTATTGCATTTAACAAAATAAACCGTCATCATGTTACCTCTCACAAGCACAGTGTCCGGAATGTTTTCTCAATTAATGTTAACAGAATGTATTGGTTTTCTTTTTCATCTAGGAAGCATTGTTTGTTGGGGAATGAAGGAAAATTAATTCTCAAGTTCTCCGGCTGCTTCTTCATTGCTGCCATGCTGCAGCTCTGCTTAATCTGAAACATCTTTGGTCTCATGGGTTATACGATGCGTTCTGTGCAATTAGGGAAAAAATCTTGTTCCCCACATTGCAGGAATTTTGCTGCCGATTTCAGTGCGCTGGATTTCACATTTACAGTCCACAAGCTTGGACAGTGTGACTTGCTTAAAAGTTTTGCATAAAAGAATGGTTCTGTTTTGCTAAATGTTAATGTAGCAATAGGTTAGTATTCAGTCTCTGTTAGAACCATTCTATTGTCCACAGATAGAGTAATATAATGTCTCTGCATTAATGAGCAATAATCCTATTGTGCCACTTCCCAGGAAGATAATGTCAGAAAACTATCCCTCTCAAAAACACCTTCTTTCTGCTAAATACGGCAGTGAAAACCACACTTTTCTTGGTGTGGTTTTATTCTATCAGCTGATGTCAGCAGCCCTACAAAAGGCTGTTTTGTAGGCTGCCCTACAAAAGGCTGCATCTCCTGCACTGTATCACTGCACATTTCTGTATGTCTTCTAAATGAAAAAAACACCTTCTCTTACTGGCTTCCAGCTTTATTTTCTTCAAGTCAGTGTTAGAGTATCAAAAAATAATGTTTCCTCTCTCTGCTTGGTGGATCTTTCCCCTCATCACTCCTGGAAAGGAAGCAGCAGATCATGATGCTGCTGTTGCTGCTGTTTTTTCTTGTTTCTTTGTTTTTTGTGTAGGAAAGCTGCTCATGGAGCTGGCCTTGCCGAGGTACAGGACAAAATCCAAGAGGAGTTTTCCTCACAGGAGCCCTTATTTGAGTCACACAACTGGTCTGAGGGCTTAGTGACCAGCACCCGCAGGGCTTGCTCCTAATTATTGCTTTAGTTGTGGGGGCAACAGATGTTTAAAATGTCTAAATACACATTCATTTCTCCAGCTTGTGATGCAGGATGCTATATGACCTTTAGAACACTTGCTCAAGGACCTTTACAGTTTTTGCCTGAAAATCTCAATTTTTGAAAGTAATCCTCAGTGACAGGATAAAAAGATAAAAGCTATTGTTAAAACATACCGTCACAATAACTTAACATCCTCATGCAAAGCGTGCTTCTTTACATAAAACACACTTATTTTACGAGAGTATTTTTAAGTGGGATGCATAAATCTTTGAAGCAGAAGGATGACAGAAACTACCCAAAAACAACAATGGAAAAGTAACCTCTATCATATTTTTTAGTTAACGAAGTCTAGTAAAATTTTAAAAATTCATTTATATATTACCATCTTACATCCACATGCCACAAGGCATTGGGTCCTCTCTTATAGAGATATGGTAAGACTTGAATTGTGTTAGTGCTGTGCCCTTCACAAAACACTGTGCTGGTCTGAAGTTGTTTTCTGGTTACTTGTTCAGCTAGCAAGGTGAGGCAGATCCTTCTGACACCTTTCTGTAGTCACTTGGCCTTGTGGGAGGAAACAACACCACTACTACAAATTTTCTGGAATGACCTAGTTTTGAGCAGAACAGGAAAAGCAGCCACTGTATAGACCCATCAGTACAGGACAAATCACACCTGCATTCAGGACTTCTCTGAGAACTGCAACAGTGTGGGAAAGGCTGAGGCATAAATATACCAAATCACAGATCTTTGTTGCACCAGTAATTATTGTCACATATTGTCTATCGAAACAGACCTCATAGATTTATATGATGCAAATAAAATATGTGGGAGAGACTAATGTTTAAACGATGGTAAATGACAACACTAAAGTCCAAGGAGAAAAAAAAAGACAAAAGCAAGCACTCGTTAGTTAGCACTCACCATAATACTCTAATCTGAATATAAGGGAGTTACTATATGCTTTTTCACATAAAAGAGTTCTTTCAAAGCATATCCAGGATGCAAAGTTATTTTATACAAGCATTAAACTTTATATTTAAGCCACTAACAAAAAAAGCAGAGTCTAAATTTCAGACTAAGAACAAGACTAGAACAGTGTGATTTTGGTAGTATCTTTTATTTAGAAAATACATTTTGTCATAATTTAGAAATTTAGAAAATACATTTTAGAAAATACATTTAGAAAATACATTTTGAAGATTTATTCTTCAATTTTATTTAGAAAATACATTTTGAAATAATAATATTTAGAAAATACATTTTGTCATAATAATATGCATTGTTTTACAATAGCCAAAGAATGAGGGTATGCACAGCACAGTGAAGTCATGTCCACAGAAATATAATATAAAGCAAATTTTAAGAGCATATCTGTGGCATTCTCTCCTTTTACTGACATTGCACACTGAACAGGTACAACCATGCTAGTTATTCAATTATCAGATACACACAATAAAAGGAAGGAGCACTGGGGAATCACAATGTCCTCAGCCGCAGTGGAGCTCCCTCTGGAAGATGAGTGAGCACCTCCAAAGTGAAGGAGCTTGATCCCAGGATGTCCTCATTGGCTCCTTGCTGCTGCCATGCTCGTCCAGTGCTCCACGGAAAAGAATGAGGCCATGACTGGAGGATGGCAGTGCTGCTCTACAAGAAACAAGACTCCTAGAAGCCAAATTTCAAGGCTCCAGGCCGGGATGCCCTTTCTTTTCTCTGGGGTACTCCATGGAGATCCACAAGGACCAACTAAAGGCCCATGGGCTGCTCTCAAACCTGCCCAGTAACCACTGTCCTTTGGGGACCCACACATTACCTGTGTTGTGGCCCAGGACCCCTGCAGACACCACTGACGATGCTGACACACCTGCTGAACCACACTGGCACAGGATATCCTGGGGTGATGTGGGCAGCCACAGCTCACATGAGGGAGGAGTGAAGCCATCAGTAGGTGCAAGAAGGCCACAGAGCCCCGAGAAAAAATCACCCATACTCGGAATTCCCCTGCCCCAGGCAAGTCCATCCGTGCTGCCCTGGACACCCCTCCATCAAGAGCCCAGGGCACCACGTGGGAGCACCCAAAGGGCCCTGGAACTTCTCCCAACACTCCCAGCATCCCTGCACTCCCGGCTCCCCTCACGCACCTGCTGACCTGCGCTGTGACCAAGGGCTCCCTGCACACACCAGCCTTGCCRCGGCCTGCAGAGCTGCTCCCCACCGTGCTCGGCCACCAGGCAAGGGAAGAGSAGGAGGGAGGCCATSAGTGGAGGATSCCRGTGCTGACCCACAACAAACAAGACTCTCAAGACCCAGTCTTCCTGGCCCACAACACTCCATGCATCTCCACAATCACCCCAGGACACCATCTACAGCCTCCTTGAGTGCCTCTGCAAGCTCCCCACACCCTCCTGCCTGTCGCACCCTGCTCGTGGACACTGACTTGTGCCGAGGCCCAGGACCTGACACACACCAAGCTCAAGCTCAATACTCACCCGCTTCCTGCACTCGGCCACAACGTGACATGCTGACCAGCTGCTGGGAGCCACGCTCCAACAAGGAGCCAAGGGAAGGAGAAGGAAGGACATCAGCAGGGGCCATCGCTCCACACACACCCGCGAAACAAGACACCCACAACTCCACCGTCCCACGGCCCCTCAGCTCCCTCTTGTCTCCAGTGTGCAGGACTTCATCAGCACCCAGAGCCTGCACTCAGGGACACCCACCAAACGCCCTGCCTTCTCTCCCAACRCCTCAAGCTCACCCATCATGTGAGGACAACTCCTGGCTGCTCACCTGGGTCATTAACACAGCTCTCCACCACAAACCAAGGCCGCTCTGCTCTCCTCCACACTGCCGTCTTCCTGGAGCTGCTCTCTCCCGTGCTCGGTCACCAGGCAAGGAAAGAGGAGGAAAAGGCCGTGAGKGGAGGAGGACAGGGCTGCACCTACCCCAAAAAACAGCCCCACACGTTCCACGTTTCCCCAACCCCAGGCTGGGATGCCCCAGAAATGCCCTCAACAACTCACAGGAGATCCCCAGGGACCAGTTATTAACTTGCCAAGACCCAGATTGACTCTCCCAAGACTCCTGACTCCCCCCTGTTCCGTGGGGACACGCACGGCATCACTAACCTGCGCTGCACTCACCACTAAAAATCCCTCCCTGGAAAGCACATTTCCCAAGACCCACGCCAGGAGGCCCTTTCTATGCCCTGCACAACACACAGGACGTCCCCAAGGACCGTCTCTGGGACAAGACACCCACAACTCCACGCTCCCACAGCCCCTGAGATCCCTCTGGCCTCCACTGGGCAGGACGTCAGCAAGACCCACAAGGCTGCACTCAGGGACACCCAACAAGGCTCCTGGCATCTCTCCCAGCTCCTCAAGGTCACTCATCATGTAAGGACAACTCCTGGCTCCTCACCTGGGTCATAGCAGAGGTCTCCACCACAGACCAAGGCCGGCGGGCTCTCCTCCACATTGTTGTCTTCTGGGAGCTGCTCTCTGCCGTGCTCGGCCACCACGCAAGGAAAGAGGAGGAAAAGGCCGTGAGGGGAGGAGGACGGGGCTGCACCTACCCCACAAAACAGACCCCCACATTCCACATTTCCCCAACTCCAGGCTGGGATGCCCTCAGCAACTCAGAGGAGATCCCCAAGGACAAGCTGTGAACAACCCCAATGGCCTGTTTTCTCTCCCAAGATTCCTGACTCCCCCCTGTTCCGAGGGGACACGCACGGCATCACTAACCTGCGCTGTCGCCAGAGCTGCCTTTGGAAACCAACCACGATGCTCCTCCACACGCACARCGTCCTGGCAGCTGCATGCAGCCGCGCTCGCCCACCGAGCAAAGCCAAAGCAGGAGTGAGGCCAACAGCAGGGGCCACGTCACACACCCCCCCAACAAACAACACCCTCACCCACATCCCAACACCCCCAGGGACACAACCA